ATATAGTAATGCATGATTACCTTTATAATTTAGTAGCTCACAAAAGAAAGTAACTCCAAGTAAGAGAAAAAATTAAAAAAATTCATTGAAAGTAACATTCAGTATTCCATTTACTGAATAGTCCATTACGTAATGAGTCAGCTTACGAAGCAAATCGTAGTCCATGCATCATACTATCTTCCTACGTAATTAATCTAACTTGTTTCACCAGGTCTCAAGCTGTGTCAGCTCTCCTGTTGTATGAGTTACTGCTGACAGACCTGAATAGCATGAATTATGAATACCTAGACTCCTATACATTAGAATGCTCATCCCCCTGTGACCCAATAGCAGTCATTGGGTGATATAATTAACATTTAGTGATAAAAATATCGATTAAAGATAATTTTGTAATCAGTTTACAGTAGGTACAGCTTTTAGTAGAATTGAGTCCATCCAAATATAAAAAACTAAGACATTTGATTCATTCTTAATAAAAGTCCACTTTCCAAACAACGCTAAAATCACTTATACAGGGTGGCTGAAAAGTAGCTTACACTTTTCAACCAATTGAGATATTTGAAATCAGTTTGCGGCAACCCTCTTAGATATGAGGGGTTACAATAATTATGGTCAATTTTAAAAATATTGCCCTTAGGGGTAGCGGGGGTAGGGGGTAGCTCAAAATTTTCAAATTACAAGTATAGTCGAGTTTAGTATCACTTTACAGGTCTTGACGAAACATAAACATTGACATAAATAAAACCAAAATCGGCCAACTAATAACAAAATGGTGCCCTAAAACGTTTCAAATCCAAATAACCATGAGCGTGGCAAACAAATTAACTTGCACCCTCTTTAACTTTTTGACTATTTGAGATATTTGAAATCGGTTTGCGGCAACTTGTTTGGATATAAAGGGCTACAATAATTATGGTCAGTTTTGAAAATTTTGCCCTTAGGGGTGGCGGGGGTTGGGGGTAGCTCAAAATTTTCAAACAGCAAGTATAGTCGAGTTTGGTATCATTTTGTAGGTCTTGACAAAACATAAAAATTAACATAAAGAAAATAGAAATCGGACCATTAGTAACAAAATGGCAGCTCAAAACTACTTTAAATAACCATTGTCTCAATCATTTTTAGCTGCCATTTTGTTATTAATGGTTCGATTTCTATTTTCTTTATGTTAAAAATAAACACGGCTTTGGGTTGTAATTGTTGCCGGCAAGGTTGTTAATTCATATCATAGTGAATAGTTTATTCAGCTTGTTTTTTTTTAATTCACGGCTGTGCGGACTTTTGGTTAATGGAAAAAATACTTTGGTGATACTTGTACTTTCAAGCGTACATGTTGCAACAAACTATTTGGCATTAAGTATTATTCAGCCAAATGGATACGTTTATTTTTAGTTAACGTATGAAAATGGCATTTTAGGAGTCATTGAAGTCAATCGATATAATAAAATAGTACCAACAAACTTATTTATACAATCAACTCCTAGTTTTGTTGACCCAACAACTAGAGAATGACTGGTCTAATGATAAGAGCGCAGGAGTTCTATGCTGGAATCCGAGGTTCAATACAACAATCAACAATGGTCTTGGGTTATGTGCCAAGTCCGTTGTCCAGTAGTTTGAATTCAATTTTTAGCTATAGGGTTACCTAACCAGAAAAAAAGTTCTCGAGCATGAAAAATTTCTGTATTTAAGTATTCCTTGCACCAAAAGATATACGGAGTTCATTATTTTACCTCCTACCGGTACCTCACTTACTTTCTTCTTATAAATAACAAACTCCAATTGGCAATAAATTGTCAACACATGGACAGTCAATAGTTAATACAACATATTTTAAGACAGGAGCTGAACACACAAGAAGAATAAAATTCTGTATTCTTAGCTTAACAACGATACATTGAATTTCTACTTTGACGAAGCGATCAAATAAACACGACGTGTGTTTGTTAACTTTGAAGTCTCGCTTTGTATTGACTGGGTTTGATTAAAACATACGTCACTCAACGGTATCCTCCCGGGTTTAATTACTGTGTTATTTGCCAAACTGGGTTTTAATTGCAAAGAATCTATGGATGTTTGAGTATTTAGGTATTTACAGGGAGAGTAGTTGTGGAATTATGTGTAAATAGAGTATGTAACGGCATGTAAGAGCATGTAGAGGTTTGCACTATAAGAGTAAGGAATAGTGATTTCAAATATTTTTTATTTTAAAATTATTTTGTCTTTGACTTATTAGAACAATCCTAAATCAATTAGTGTATTTGTGGGTTTGGACGTGAACTTATTGTTGTTATAAAATAAAATGTTTTAAAACTATAAAAGGAAAACGTATGGATTCATCTGATACTATATTAATCTTAGTGGTTCGGTCATACAATTCAAATTATTAAGTTTCAATCACCCTTACCTATATGGTTTCGTTAAACGTTTGTAGTTTGATTTTTAGTCCTTATTAAAAACTTTCTCATCATAAACTGAGCATGTAGTGTTTGATGATTAATGTTTTTGTAAAATTTCTCATACTTTGTATGATATTCATCAGTCTTTTCAAAATGGAAGGAAAATATATCTTTCATACAAAATTGAACAGATATATTTGAAAACATTACATGTCTTTTTGGACATACTCTGGCAATGTTTTTGGACCTACGTTTAAAAAATGTACGGTTTTAAGCATTACCGGTAGTTATTTTTTTCTTTACTGAAATATGATTTTGCTATTTTTCCATTTTGATGTTAATTTGGTAAATCGTATGTAGTGTATGAGACTTCCAATACAGTTAACAACAATTTTAGATTAGGTTTCTATTTAAAGTATGTTTTAAAAAACATAATAAATTGTGTTCAGTACATTGTCGTGTACTATTTAATCTCTCATCTCAACACTACTAACTACCTGATTTCAATATCTTACATGTTTTCTAAAATAACTAACTACTAGCCAACCATGTGATTATTATTATATTTTGTTTCCTAATACCTCTTTAGTTCTAATATAGGTCTTCCAAACTCTTCTAAGTTGCTGTCCGTTTTTTTATTTTATTTTATTAAATTTTTATTTTAACTTTGTTCTAAGTTAAAATGGAATCTATTCTGCTTCCGTCAGACATAAAAAAATGTTTTCACATTTAAAAAAATGTCACACCCGTTGAAAAGGAGGCATTAGACCAATGTCATGAGGGTCCATTGATTTATATCCTGACCTCTATAAACGATTCACATTCGACCTCGTTGGGGGCTTCCACTGTCCCTGTTGAATGTGTTGTGGGGATTTTCCTTAAGGAATAACTGACGCTGTTACTGAAAAACGGAATCGTAAAAAACGCCAACGGCATGCAAAAACACAATAGCAAAAGAAATTTACTCGAGATCCATGAAGAAAATGTATTTTTTTTTATCTTGGCTATATTTCCTTTTAGGTAGGTTTATAAATAATTATCTATTACAAGTATAACAGGCACATTTAAAGGTGATATAGTAGAGGTAAAAAGTTATATATTACAGCTATTACGGCTTGACAACAAACTAGGTGACAGTCTGTTGTATTGCCTTTGTCTCATAAGTAAAATATATTGCTTTATTTATCTTTTTTCGATGCACGTTTGGCACTACATTGCTAAAGTAGTCCAATAATATTTTTTGTGTTCTTATGAATTTAAATTTGTATGATCATTATCTGGAATAAAATGGTTCGTGAGCATAACAATATATCATTCCATTTTGTTAGTACAAATAACTACCACGCCAAAGTAATATTTTCCACACTCAATATGTAAATAATTTAATTTATTTACGGTTCTTAAAAACTTTTCTTATCGTAATTATTAAACAATATTTAAAACATTAAAAATGTCTTCTAATCAATTAAATAATAAACATTGAACTTTGCTATTGTAGTTAACCTTATTTAGCTCCATTTTAACATTACTAGGGACACCTTTTCAATTTTCTAGTGACCCTCTAAGAGACATAGTAATCAATCTCTAAACATAACAATGACCACAGGTTTATATAGTTATACAAATTTCTAGACCCGTATAAACTGCAATTATTCAAAATAATAAAATATACTAGGGACCCAAGTACAACTGTTATAAAGAATGTTGGTCAGCAGCACTGAACATTTGAAAGCGCGTTCTAGAAATAAATTAAAGTTTGGGGGGCGAAGCCCTGAAGTAAATTGCATTATTAATTATCATTCGTCCCTGTGCAATATCATAAGCTTGAATCAAATGAAACTTAATCGTAAACATCGGTTCAGTAGAACCGCTGGAAAAGAAATGTTACAGATAAATTCTTATTCTATCAAGCATATAGATTATAAGAAGGATTTTATATTTAACATGTGCTATGTCGTTAGAAACAAACATATATTGTTATTGCAACAGTTATAATAGATCTAGTTAGTACATGTGGCAAGTTTATATAACCATACAGTTTGTTTGTAACAATTATTGTCGTATTCACTAACACGCATCGAATACGAATATGTTACCACAATGAATACGTTACCACAATAATACGTTACCACAATGAATACGTTACCACAATGAATGCGTTACCACAATGAATGCGTTACCACAATGAATACGTTACCACAATGAATACATTGAATACAATGAATACATTCCGACTACGAGTGAAGTTTGCAGTGAAGGTTGACTGACAATAAATTAAGTTTCTGTCTTAAGATGTAGCAAACTTAGCCTTATGTTATTATTAACATGGTGCATATCAACAACCCAATTCAACCCATTCTTAGTCCATAACAATTGCTTCTAATCCAGAATCACCTTCAGCACCAACATCAATCAATAAGCATTTAAAAGCTTATGTTATCTCAAATTCTTTCAAGAAATGTTAAGTTTATGTAAATAATATATCTTTAACAAGGAAATGCTATTCCAAAGGGGGGAAAATACAGTATATTAATTTAATTTGTAATACTTCGAAACATCCCCATCAAGATAATAATTTGTTTTAATACATTTTATTTGTTTCAGGGACTGAAAAATCGGTTCATTACTGCAAGGTAAGGTTCAACCCTTTTAGAACATATACTACAAAATGTTAATTGATTAGCTTATTGCAGTAACTAATAGAAAGCTAGGGTTGTTTTTACGGTACGGATAAGATTGGTCTAAAAAAAAAAACTTATTTTGTGTTTATCTTAAAGTGAAAAAGGCGTTCTGATCCTCCGTTAGTAAAATAGCTTTTGATTTACATTTTTAGAATTTAGGTTTTATTGTACTTGAAGATACCAATATACCAATGACGTAAATAAGTATGTATTGTATTTATTTTGCGATGTAAGGCCCAAACCAGAATATTATTAAATATTAACAATCAGTTTTAGTCCAATTAGTAATACAGAAACTATATGTAGAAATTGTTGGCCAAGAATTCAAACAAAATATGTACTAGCCTCAAGTTTTAGATGAAACACTTCCACATAAAATACAAGTCCACATTTAATAAACATTTCTCAATCAAACAATATTTTTTCACTTCATGAACTACCTTCCACGAACCTGATCAGTCTATGAAAGATGAAAATAACTGCACAACATGAAAACACTTTAATTTCTTCTTCTTACATCAATATTATACAAATTTAAGATGTTCATATTTTTTTATTATAATGAAATGTAGTTGGGATATTTGTATGGTTTGGTCAGTGTGGAAACGTGTTCAGAGTTCCGCTATTTACACCGAATGGCTAATTTTAGCCGTTTGTGATTGGTCAACTCAAACATTAGAGCAAAGATTGATGATATTGGCTATCAATATTTGTATTGGAATTCGCGCTGTAATTTACATGGCACAAACTCGATTTTCCTCAATCAAATGATAATATTTAACATGGTTCAATTATAATTACGGTTACATAAAACTACATTATTTAGTTTTTAGTCAAATACAGGCACAGAAATGATATTTATTGTGTAAAAAAAACTCCACTTTGCTCAGATTTGTTACAACAGAATAATCATAAGGTAAGGTTTTTATGTTGTAGCATTTGTACGCAATTACGTGATTTTTTCGAAATATTTTACCGTGTCAAGTGTGTAAATATCAGATGCAGTCACTGATTATACCTGATTACGGCTGATGTGATTGGCCGAAGTCAATCATCAATCCTGCCATTAGGATTAAGGTATGTGGGAATGGACCCTACAGGCCTAAGCTGAATTAATGAATAAAACGGTCCCGGGTTAGAGCTACAAGCTGTAACTGTTATATATACACATTTGTATTTTGTCTTAGGTTATTGTACTCTATGTCATGAATAGCCTACACTACTTGTCCTAGCATAGACAACAGGAATAAAGTCTCTTTCATGTTAGCCTCCAATGACTAAGCATCTTATCTCAAAGCTCCCATTTCCCAATGTATAATTATAATAGTTATGGCAAGATACATAACAGTAACTGCCAAAGAAACTTAGTGAAAACAACTTATGAAAACAAACGTAGCCTAATTTAAAGTGGTTTGATAAAGGTGACCCTGGATAGTATATGGTGGTGGTTTATGTACAAATAAAATACTTCACCAGTACAAAGAGGAGACTCTAACAGGTTACAACATGTCTGGCTTGTGTCTGAAGGTCACGTGACGTAAGCACCGCCTTCAAATGTCAATTCACTAAAGTCTACTTACTCCACCCTTCTATATGTGGAACGTATTAAAACAACTTTTAATGTAATTACTGGGTAAAGCTTCAATTATTATCTTTGGTTTCGTTTATTATATTATTAATTGCGTATGAATTATTTGTTTTCAAATTAATCTTTAGGTATTTTAGAAGTAAAAACCAACTTCTAAAATAATTATTTAAACATAATCGGGTCTCACTGATATTTTACCAAAGACCTATAGTTGTAATGTGGTCAAATTGACCATAAGTGTTTCTCATCGTATTTAATTTACTTCGACGTACTTGATTAATCGATTAGCTTTCATATTAATTTAAGACACCATTCAAATAAGGTACTATTCCATTACATTTTATTCATAGTTTAACTTTTTTCTGGGTTTTAACATTTTAACAAAATTTTCCCTCGGACTTAATAATATAGTTGTAATGTACAATTTTTTCTCAAGGTATTTCGACGGTATCTAAGTAAACCATTAGCTTTAATAGTGGTTTGTGTCCCCATTTAAAGCAGAAATTATTTAATTCGATTTTATTTATTGTTTATTAAATGTTGTCTGAAGTATTTATGATCACATACTTTAAAATTTATGTTAACCTAGTATACTGATTGTATAATCTTTTAATGTTGTTTCTGTAAGAATAGTCAGAAATAAAACACTAAAAACCTACCAAACTATGCAGAGTTGAATCTGAAAAAATTACAAATATTCTTCAATGGATAATCCAAAAGCTTTTACAATCCTGAAATGTAACCCGAAGTTTACATTTCACTTCATGGAAGTAAAGGTATACTTACAAATCGTGTATTTTTTTCGAATAACCATAATATTTAGGTGTAACGTTCAGAAATATAAGACCCGTGATAGAAGAGTTTATTTTTAAAGCCGTCAGGAGGAGGTAAGGAGATTACGTTATCTAAATAGAACGTGATGTCCGTAGCGAATGTAGGGTAAGCGTATTACATATTTGTGAGGTGCCTACAGGAGATTATATTGAACATGTTACTATCACCTGAAAATATATGCGTAGAATCGTTGTAAAATGTCTTCAAATATAAATTAAATAATAAATACCCAGGATTCCATCAAAATATGCTTTACATGTATGTCTGCAGTCGATTGCATGACCGAAAATTGAATTTTTTGTGGGCTTTAAAAAGCCTTTTACTGTTTAAGACAGTATCCGATTAGCTTTTTAATACATGCATTTTTCTTATTCTGAAGGCGAGGCTTTGATAGGAGATATAAAACCCATACATTTTAACACAATTTTTAACACAGATTTTTTCAATTATTAATTCGCTAATTATTTATACTGTATACTACTAATATATTAACTATAGTTCGGCCGCTTAGAAAACGACCTGCGCGCTAATGCTAAACCAATGATGGAGGAGGTCGCTTTCTAGGCGGCCGAACTATAATGACTATTATAAATACATAAGTGGTTCATCTAAATTTTGAATAAAATATTTGTTTAGAGTATAATTATTTCTTTAAAAGTTAAAGTTAGTTTAAATGTTTAAAGCCCTCAGATATAAAAAGGATATACGTTTTTTATGACCAAACATAGTATACAAAAACTAGTATAGCTAAGAGCCTTTTAATTTCCGAATAAATTGTTTCTTTTGAATAAAATAAATTAAGATTACTTAAAAATATTTACCTCCTTCTATTAATAGCTACCTCTTTAAATGTAAAGCATCTCTCTACATTGTTATTTTCGCAAATTTATAAAATTTGTATTTGTTACAAAACATTTTAACTGTGGGCCTATAATTAAATAAATAATATCACGTAAAAATGTAAAAACATTCATTCATTCAAGGTGTGCACTACAATTTTGACTTTTGGAAAATATTTACTTTTTAGTTAATAAACTTCTATAATCTGTATCCTAGTTAGAACATTACTTGAACATGTTCACATTGAAAAAAGATATTTCCGGTGACTGGTAGACACCTGGCATGTTAGTGTTTGGACTTAGTCTGAACAACAAGAAATGAGTGGGATTGATAACTGTCGATAGTGAGATCAGATGCAGAGAAATTATGCCATTCAACTATTCAGTCAATCAATTAATTTATAGAACAAAATGGACACATGCATGTGGTAAAATAGGTTAAAAAAGTCATTCAAGGTGTGTCTGCGCCGGAAATAATCGAAATACATTTGGTAAGCCTCCTTTTTAAATTTCATAGTTTCAATTTTTCATACAAATGAAACTGCTCCTGTTATTTCTTACATAGCTAATGGTTTTTAAATTCTGACGATAAGACAATACATTACTATGCACAGATCTAGCAATTTTAATCAATAATCTTGTATAAATTTGAAGACGATTCCATATATTTCTTCTCTTTTATACTATTAGTCATTTTGATTTAATAATTACGAATAAAAATATGTCTAAAATATTTGATATCAATGATCTCATGGAAAGTATGTATTACACATTATGCTTACACAATTTTAAATACTATATTGCTAACATTCATTATAATTATTTATTTTACAAATATGTTTAAAACAATTCATCTAAAACAATTTATTCTTTTATTCTTTTAAAGGCACGGTGAGTACATAGAGGAATATCAATTACTATAGCAACTGGTAACCAGTACTAGAGCTATAAAAATTACATAGAAAATATAAGTTTGCAGGAAGAAAATAGTTTACAAAAATGTAACTAGGCCTTATAGCAAGACAACACTAACAATTAAATAATTAGAATTGCATAACTATTCTAAAAACTATAAAAAAAAAAAAAACTATTGAAACATTTAACCAGTTACTAATCAAATACCATAAGCTAGTAAATGTCATAATTATATTTTAAAACAAACGTACCGGGACTAAATAAACAAATAATATATATAAAAAAATATTATTTTAAATTTATCAGTACTTTTCCCAATAAAATATGAAAAAACTTGTAGGTAAATTAATGTAAGCAGAGAACCATTGGTGATACAAAACCAATTCGTTTAGGTTTAAAATTATTTACATTATTTGTTGTTTCTCCAACTAATTAACTTGTTTGCCTGTTACTTAGAATCTGAGAACTAATTAGTATTAAGTTCTCTCTAAGCTGTTTTATTTTTTATCATTATAAGTTTTACGAAAGTCAAACTTTGTTGATGAATGTATTATTCGTTCTAACTATACTTATAAATATATATTTACTTACTTACTATATAAGCCTAAACAAAATTATGAATTCATATCCAAAACTAAAACATGAGTTTTAAACATATTCCTTCAGTCTAAACAAACCTGCTTATTTAATTAGTTTTAGTCCTTAACGAATAGTTCGAGTATTATTTAATGACAAATTAGGTTCCTCTGTCTTTGAAAAAGTGAAGTCTATGAAAA